CTACCATGCAAGATTTTAAGGATGACCTTACTAACAAGGGAGATGAGTGAAATTGTCCAATGGTTAGCACATTCTTTAGTGCTACCCTTCTTGGGAATTGGGATGAGGATTGATCTTTTCAAGTCCTGTGGCCACTACTGGGTCTTCCAGATTTGCTGACCTGATGAATGCAATGCAACTAAGAAGTGGGAATTATCATTTTCACTAAACAGAAGAGGAAACTGAAGGTCAGAAAGGTCAACTGAAGTGCCAAAACCTTATAGTTGATGATTGGCAAGAGCTGTGGTTTAAATCAGGTTTCATCTGTCCCCAAACTTTCAAGTGCATTCTCTGCATTTGCCAGCTTAAATTCTCTAATGTCCAGTAAACATATTTATTTGGGGGAAAGCATAGTGCTTTTAAAGAAGTTCATTTGAGAAACCTCCCTCAACCCCTTCCACAAAGCTGTGAAAGCTGAGTACATGGCAGAAAACTACCCTACAGACCCAGGTTTGAGATGTAAGCTTTCTTTAGTCTCTAGTTACTCGGCTAGATAAAGAATTTTTTCAGATGATTTACCTATTTTCATGACTAAAATATGTATAACAGAAACTGACATATCTCATACATTTTTTGGACAACTTCAATTAGGTCTGGCATGAGAAATATTGACTCCAAAATTGATGTATTAGCTCAACTTTGATTGGGACATGATGACTCATGTATTGTGCTAAATACTTTATATGAGTTGTCTTAATCAAAAATAAAAAAATATGGAACACTTCACAAATTTGCAAGTCATTCTTGTGTAGGCTCAAGTGGTAAAGAATCCGCCTGTAAAGCAGGAGACGCAGGATTGATCCCTGGGGTCAGGGATGATTTCCTGGAGGAGGAAATGGCAACCCACTCCAGTATTCTTGCCTGGAGAATCCCATGGACAGAGGAGTTTGGAGCATTATACAGTCCATGGGGTTGCAAAGAGTCAGACACAACTAAAGCGACTTAGTCCCTTGGATAGGAACCATGTTCATCCTCACTGTATCATTTGAATATGGTATGCGAGCTGCCAAAATAAACATTAAATAAGAATTATTTCCTTTCTACAGATGTTAAAAATATCTGCTGAGGACCGAGAGGCAAATCAACACTCCAGGGGAAAAATCAATAGCAAACCTCCCATTTTTTAATGTTGAGTTTATTTCATGAGCAACGTTCCTCTGCAAAGTACTAGAAGGTGTAAGTGGGGTAATGAAGATTAGGAGGATCTCCTGGGAGTCCTCTAGAAAGTCAAGGCTGTACCTTTCAGGCCATTAACCCTGCTTCAACTTCGTAAAGTCATAGGCCTATTATTTCAACCCTGTAGGAAAGGGGGATAGTTATACATCAAAAGTGTGTGGCTGCAATGGCTGCTTCCTCTTCCAAACACAGAGACCTGAAGTGTGTCAAAAGTCATCCAGAAACAGCTGTCATTCTCCTGGCCTAGGGACTGCTCATTTCTTTCTACCAACTTTCTGATATTTTTAAGCTATTCCTTCTAAGTCACATAATATTAGGGCTACCTAAATCATTTATCAGCCAAATCTCTATACCTTGAGATATATTTTATTGAATCAATATAACTATTGATTATCCTGTTATAAGATATCCTTTAATTATCCTGTATTATAGTCCCTGATACACACATTTATTCTTTAGTAAATGAAACAAATAATGAAACTGCTCAATTAAACTGCTAAGTTTAATTGTTGTATAATAAGTTCATTGCAATATAATATAGTTGAGTATAGTTGAGATCACAAAGGGACAGGTTAAAAACTGTACTACTTATATATCACAGTAGATCTTTTTCAATTTCATTCTAAATATTATTAAGTATCTGTTTTCTCTAGGATAGAATAAAAGCAATTTTCTATTTTTGAATCCCTGGAGAAGGGACTGGCTACCCACTCCAGTATTCTTGCCTGGAGAATCCCATGGACAGAGAAGCCTCATAGAGTCCATAGGGCTGCAAAGAGTCAGACATGACTGAGTGACTGAGCACACATTATTTGAATAGTAGAGAAAATCAGTAAAACAAATCATCCAAAATAGTGAAATATAAGAAAAATATTTGATACATAATATTATAAGAATTATTTTGTATGTTTTACCTTTCTGAACAGATTTTGCTTATTACATTTAGCTTGCAGGTCTCATGCACATTGCTCTGAAAGTACAATTAGAAAAGTAAATATAATACAATAATAAGTGTTATAAAAAGTAGGATAAGTCCCCCAAAGATACCTGAAAATTGACTACAAATTATTATCCATTATAACAGAGAAAATGGAAAACTCTCATATGAGAGCATTTCTCAGGATGAACTAGGTCAGGAGAAAAACAAATTTTGCCTAAAAGTGCCCCGCAGACTCTGAGCAGCTTAACTAGAATATTACAACTGATTTAGCTGAGAGTAGAAGTTTAATTACCATAAAAAGATGATCAAAATGAGCTTAAGAATCTCCCGGAGGCTGAATGCACTCTTTCATTCTTTTATTTACATACTCATGAGTCCATGGAGAAATTAAAGCAAAGAGATATAAGTGAAATTGTTGAAATTACGGAGAAACAGAATCCAACTCCAGCAGCCCTGAGTATTCTCCCTAACTTTCTTGTCGTTCGTACGTCATCTTACGTTTTTTCTGCAACCCTTCAGTATCCAGCGTCAGTGGAAATACTCTGTGCTCTCGCCGTCAATACTGCCTCTTCTTTTTGACCCTCTGACAATTACTGCTGACTTTTACCGAGCTCTTCATAAAAGCCCCACACTGTCATTTAATCCTCACGTGAACTTTGTAAAGCATGATGATTACATTTTACAGACCAGTAGGCTCAGACACACGACTTATAGCCTGTGTGTCGAATGGTGGCCCCCAAAAGACATGGCTAGGTCTTAACCTTGGCAACCTATGAATATGGCCTTATTTGGGGGGGAAAAGGGCCTTTGTGGATGTAAAGACCTGGCGATGATGAGATCATCTTGGCTTATCTGGATGCGTAAGCCCTAAGTCCAGTGACAAGTGTCTTCGAAAAGCAAACACAGATACACAGAGAAGGCAATGTGAAGTTGGAGGCAGAGACTAGAGTGATGTGGCCACAAGTCAAGAATGCTTGAAACCACTGGAAGCTGGCAAAGAAAGGAAATGCATTCTCTCCCTGGAGCCCCCAGAGGGAGCGCAGCCCAGATGGATTTTGGACTTCTAGCTTCTAGAACTGTGAGAGAATAAACTTTTGTTTAAGCCGCCCAGCCTGTAGTAACTTGTTACAGCCACTCTAGGAAATTAAAGCAGCCAACACCACGTTATAATGCCACTGTTCTGGGAGCATAACAGATAGCTCTCTGCCACTATTACAAAGTTTGACCCATAAGAAAGACCGAAGAGAGTTTCTCCCTTTATTATGCAAGCATTCTCTGCAAATGAGTCTTTCAAGGAAACATTTTCCTGAAGGCTTGTGTCTGTTAACAATGCTTGCATACTTACTTCTACAATTTAGAATCTATTGTTTCTTCTCTACTTGGTTTTTATTTTATGGTAACGTAGGCTTTTTCCAGTTAAAATAATAAACACCTTTGTTATACTCAAAACATTCTTTACACATTAAATTGGTACAAATAACATAAAGCCTATTTGAATTTAAAAATACAATTCATTCTCTCATTACTACCCTGACAAGTTTCTAACATTTTAATTCAGAAAATAATTGATGTTATGTAAGAATATGTACTTAACAATGCTTTGAAATTTAAAAAGCCATATACTATTTCAAATATTCCATAACATACTGATTTACTCTTATAGAAAACTATTTAATACAGTATTGAAATTATACTATTTCAATATAGTATTGAAATTACATTATTTCAAAAATGGGGAAATGTAGTCAAAGGTATAAACTTCTAGTTATAAAATAAATAAGAAATGGGGATGCAATGTAAGCAAGGAGACTATGGTTAATGATATCACGTTGCATGTCTGAAAGCTGTTAATAAAGATCTTAAAAGTTCTCATCAGAAAAAAAAACTGTTAACTATGTGTGGTGGTGGATGTTAACTAGACTTAGCTGTTGTGATCACTTTACAACATACACATATATTGCGCCAGGTGGTACACCCAGACTAATGTTATATGTCCATATACCTCCATTAAGAAAATAAATCAGCTCACAAGACACACCAGCTCACACGTTCTCCCTCAGGCCCCCAGAAGAAAGTTGTTTCTAACCCTACTTGATATCGTGCTGGACAGCCTCTGTCCCTACGCTTCTACCCTTTGCCCTCCTCCTCAAGCTGCTCTGGGTTCAAGTGTTGACCACGAGAATCACCGGTGTCTTATCCAGACCTGATTCAAATGAGATTTGGAACTTCTGAGCGGATGATATTGGGATGAGATTCTGGAGCTCATCTATTGTGCTCACATCAATTACTTGCCCTTGCCCAGTGGTTGCGGGCAAGTTCAGCTGGTGTGAGGCCCTGGCAGACAGGAAGGCAGGAGGAGAGTGAGGTCAGGGCATTTATTCCCTCTTTTCTCTCCCTGCAGGACCAACCGGCTGGCAGTGTCCACGCTCCTTGGTTCTAAGTGACAGCACTTGACTTGCTGGGAGACCCCTTGCCCACAGCCCTCTCCAGGTCTGTCTGCCCTTTCACCCTCCCTTGTTCTCTCAGCCTTGCCCACACCTCCATAAATCCTCTCTTTTCTGTCCCCCTTTGGGTGTGCTGTCTTCTGCTGGTAGACCAAAACACTTACTGACTACTACGACTGATGGCCTCCATCCACCAGCTTGAATAATTTCTTGCCATAAATGAAATTATCCCAGATTTTCCAAAAATGTCTACTTCAAAAGAATTACTACTGGCTATGACTGGTGTGGGATTTTTTTTTCCTCTAGCAACAATCAAAACAAAAGGAGGTAGCTTGGGATGACTTTAAGACACTCCTGCTACCACTGACCCTTATCACTGAATGCTTTTGGTTCCAAAATACCTGTCAGCACCATCTCTGATGCACTTGGGAAAGGCCAGGCTGCAGCCAAAAAGCATGATATGTTGATAGCAACCGAGGCGATGGAGGTATGTGAAGAATTTGAGGAGCTTCTCCATTTCCATGCTTTTGACAATGGAGAGGGGAGATGTCAGCGTGGTGTAGTAGGGCAATATCTGACACTGGCTGTGAGTGATGTTCATGCAGGCACCTGGGAAGGTAAGAAAATTACATTTAGGAGAAGACACATAAGAATTATATGTTTATAAACTCATTTGACATGATAGACTAATGTGTTGATACCATAAAATAAATCTGCAACTCAGAATAATTATGGACATACAATAAGACACATACATACATAGCCGCATTATTTACAGTTGTCAAGATATGGAAGCAACTGAAGTGTCCATCAATATGAATGGATAAAGATGTAATGTGTGTGTGTGTATATGTATCAGTTCAGTCACTCAGTCGTGTCCGACTCACTGCAACCCCATGAATTGCAGCACGTCAGGCCTCCCTCTCCATCACCAGCTCCTGGAGTTTACCCAAACACATGTTCATCGAGTTGCTGATGCCATCCATCCATCTCATCCTCTGTCGTCCCCTTCTCCTCCTGCCCCCAATCCCTCCCAGCATCAGGGTCTTTTCCAATGAGTCAACTCTTCGCATGAGGTGGCCAAAGTATTGGAGTTTCAGCTTCAGCATCAGTCCTTCCAGTGAACACCCAGGACTGATCTCCCTTAGGATGGACTGGTTGGATCTCCTTGCAGTCCAACAGACTCTCAAGAGTCTTCTGCAACACCATAGTTCAAAAGCATCAATTTTTCAGGGAGGTGGGAGGGGGGATCGGGATGGGGAACACATGTAAATCCATGGCTGATTCATGTCAATGTATGGCAAAAACCACTACAATATTGTAAAGTAATTAGCCTCCAACTAATAAAAGTAAATGGAAAAAAAAAGAAGAAAAGAAAAGTTTAAGTAGAGTATACAGTAAATATTGTGTAACAAATTTTTCAGAAAAGAAAGTGAAAAGAAGTATGTTTGTGATCACAAAATCAAGCTGCTAAGATTCACAGATAACATCTGTGTACTGGGAAAATGTGTGGAGAAAAACACTCTCACCTAAGCCAGAGGGCAATCACTATTCTAGATCACAGCTGGGCTGGGCAATATGTATCAAAAAAATATGTATTTAAAAAATGCATATCCTTTGACACTGTAGTATTTCTAAAAATTTATCATAAGAGAATCACAGTTGTGCACATGGATTTATCTACAGGGATCTTCATCTCTGTACAGTTTATACTTTCTAAAAGATAGCAATCACCTAGACATTTAACAAAGGGAACTGGTTTAAAATATTATGGAACAAACAATAGAATGCTCAGCTACATGAAAGATGCTTTAGAAGACTATTAATTACATAGAATGTGTTTATAATAAATAAAAGTTACTAATCACAAACTAATTTTTATACCGTGATCCTGTTTTTTAAAGTAGATGATTATCAAGAGTTTCCAGTCCTGCCCATGTCAACAGGTCAGGGTCAGCTCAGAGACTCTAACCTTGTTTTCCTCCAAACTGGCACTCCTGAGAAGGATCACTTCCACGGCTTCTTCTTCTCCTTCATGCTATAAATTTGCACGACTGGCCAAAAAATGAAGGGCGCATTTTTTTTGGACTTCATCAAACACATAATGCAAAATGGGAAATAAAGGAATCAGAAAGGAAGAAAAATACAAACTGAAATATGTAGACAGAACACAATTAGGCATAAACATACATTCAGCTTCGCATGAGTGCTGAGGTGGGAGTTCTGGGCAAGTTTCACAAATATGTCACTCAAGTCTTTCAGGAGGGAAGTTAAAATGCATTGGTGTGGGAGAGCATCACAAGCGAGGAGCAGGTACAGACAGTGGACTTCAAAATGACACAGTTCTATGTATTGGGCTACAAGAAGAAAAGCTTGCTTACAAGAGTTAACAGTAAATTTATGTCCATCCAAAATATGAAACAATTCATTAAAAATTCAGTATCAAGAAAACCGATTACAAATCAAGTTTGTGCCAGGCACCAAAACAAGTGCTCAGATCTCCTCGTTCAGAATGATCTCACTTCTACAACCCAGGAAAGTGATATCATCTCTGTATTACACAGGAAGCCAATTTTGGAAAAGTTAAGATATCTGCTGAGGAGTGCACAGCTATTATGTGGGAATTCTATATCTTCAAATCTATGTTTTCTGAGTAACTTCCATTTGGAGCTACCTTAAGCTAATACAAAGAGGTCTATAATGTTAAAAACAGTTTTTAAAGAAGATAATTCCTAATGGCCTATGAAAGAAAGAGGCCAAAAAGCATATAATGATACACCACAATGTCTATATTTATATCCATAGATAACATCACATGTTATCTTTCATTTTATATTACATTATTTTCTTTAGGAGTCATCAGCTTTAAGGTTTATACATTTAATGATAAACCATATTGGATGAGATCATCAAAAGGCTCATTTATCCCACTGAGGCAAAGAAAACACAGAATACTGAGTGATCATTTAAAAAATACAAGATAATTAGGAAAATCATATTTTGGTTGGCTCTATTATGTTCATGACATTGTGAACTGCACAAGAGAAAAAAAAGATTTTCTAATAGCAAATTCCTTTGGGAACAGAGAGAAATGATAAATAATAGTCTGAAACCTTAACATATGTCTCAAAATAATTGGTATGGGCAAAAATAATAATGTTTTATATTTATATAATGGTTTTATAAAGTTTTCCAAAGCAATCCTATTAGGATTATAATCTCTCATTATAAATGAAGAAACTAAGGCCCTCATAGATATGTAGGTAGATGGAAATATGATAGATGGTTGGACAGGATGGATAGACAAACAGGTAGCTAAGGAGATAGACAAAAACTGATTTGCAGGACACTCAGTCAGTAACTAAAGAGCCTCTTGAGGGTGAAAGAGGAGAGTGAAAATGCTGGCTTAAAACTCAACATTCAAAAAATGAAGATCATGGCATCCCCATCACTTCATGGCAAATAGAAGGGGAAAAAGTGGATGCAGTGACAGATTGTCTTTTCCTGGGCTCCGAAATCACTGTGGAAGGTGACTGCAGCCATGAAATTAAAAGGTGCTTGCTTCTTGGAAAGAAATCTGTGACAAACCTAGACAGCATATTAAAAAGCAAAGACATCACTTTGCCATCAAATGTCCATCTAGTCAAGGCTATGGTTTTTCCAGTAGTCATGTATGGATGTGAGAGTTGGATCATAAAGAAAGCTGAGTGCCAAAGAATTGATACTTCTGAAATGTGGTGTTGGATAAGACTCTTGAGAGTCCCTTGGACTGCAAGGAGACCAAACCAGTTAATCCTAAATGAAATCAATCCTGAATACTCATTGGAAGAACTGATCCCAAAGCTGAAGCTCCATACTTTGGCTACCTGATGCAGAGTCAAATCATTGGGAAAGACCCAGATGCTGGGAAAGACTGAGGGCAGGAGGAGAAGGGGGTAACAGTGGATGAGATGGTTGGGTGGCATCATTGACTTAATGGATGTGAATTTGAGCAAACTCTGGGAAATAGTGGAGGACAGGGAAGCCTGGCATGCTGTAGGTCCACGGGGTCACAAAGAGTCAGACACAGCTTAGTAACTGAACAACAACAGTCAGCAACAGAGGTGGGACTGATACACAGGTCCTCCATCTCTCAGGCCAGCATTTATCCCACTATACCACAGCGTCAATAACACAGCAAATGCCAAAGGAATTCAAAAGAGCAAGAACTCAATGTAGCGCGAATGACTAGGGAAGACTTAGCAAATAACAACTTGATTTGCTGATCAAAAAATACCTGACAGAAATGATAAAAACAGGGTACTTACTAATGGTAGGAAAAAATTACTACAAAGACAGAATCATAATTGCACGTGACACAGAATGACTAAAAATTTGAATCTGGGCAGAAAAGCACTCAACTGAGAATTGCTAACAGCCAAAAAATTTAAAAGGGAATTACTTTTTAAGACTCGTGATTTCAAGCCTTTTATATTCAAAAAATTGTATAAATTTCCTATCATCCCTTCTGCCTCAGCGTGCATGTCAAATGTTCTTTTTTCCCCCAGAATGTTCTTGCCTCTGAAACATATAATTCTAGTTTTGAATTGTGCACATTCTCACAAGGGGCAAATGATTTTGCATAAGCCAGCTACATAACAGGCACCATGCAGAGTCATTTCTCTGAGGGGAAAGGGAAGGGCACTTGTGGAAATGGATTCATTTATTGTTGCTGCTCCTCTAACTTGATTTTCATAAGGTAGAAAAAAGTGGGGAATGTTTGTTTTTCTTCCCTGGGCATTTACTACTGACTCTAATAGAAATTAGAAGGCAAGGTTGTTGCTGTGTAATAGATAAAATAACACAATAGACAAAATTAACCATAGTGTTCCTATAGACATCATTATTCAATTAAATGTGTCTTTTAAATAATAGTTACTTTAAGTTGGGAAATTTGAGGAGGAAAAGTTATAAACAGATTTTAAAAGCAAAATTACTTCTTGATGCAATGTATTTCTGGTGAACTAGAAATATTTATTGTAATTAGTTCCTAAATTCTAAAACAGCATTGCTAATAAGGCATGATTTAATAACAAATTATCAAAGTATGCACTGATTAAAACACAGGTCCCAATTTGAGGAAAAAAATTAAATATGAAAAACAAAATGCTGCTTGTATTGGAGAAGATATTGATTTTTTGTTTTCTTAATCTGACTCAATAGTTTCTAGATAAAACTGGGGCTCTCTCAACTCATATCACATTGCTAAAACTTTTAGATACTGGAATGAGGAAAGAAAGATGAGTCTGTTTTAAGTTTATGCTCATTTGGGTATTAGGCTAAATTCTGTGTTGTCTAATTTGGGGATTAGGTAACGTGGAGCTAGAAATTCTTACTTATACAATTATTTTTAATGCAAAATTAACTTAAGAAAATTCTTGCACAGAATTTATTTCAACAATGGGTTCTTTTAAAAATCCCTTAAGACCAAATAAAGATCATTTTTAAATAAAAGCAAAATAGTATCTAAATCATAATGATTATCACATAATAGTGTTATTTGACAGGTAAAATCTTCTTAAATTAAAAATAATAAAATGTCAACTTTCTAAAGTACTCTGCTACCTTTT